TGCTAGTTGTTTATAGTTTAGTTTGTTTTATGTTCAGTATTATAGTTTGTTATACTTTCGATAGGATTTTAGTTTCGTTAGTTTAGCTTACGTTAGTTTACCGTTCTTTTGTTAGTTGACCTTAGTTCCAACTAGTTAGTTCTTAGTTTTGTTTGTTTTGCTTATTTTATTTTAAATTTCTGTAGTTTGAGTTTGGTGTGAATTAAGTTTGCAGTTTAGTTTTAGACGTACTACTGATATGTGGGTTTTATTTATTTTTTTACTCCACTTTACTTTAATCTAGGAAATTCGTAGTTCCTTGCGTTGTTCTGATAATTTTATAAGTTCCCGACATGAGCGTAGTTGCAAATTTATTTATGACCCGCTTTTTGTTGTCAAACATTAGGCTACTTCAATAATTGTTCTATTTTTTTCTACTTTTATACGCTCCACATTTTCTTTCCTCTGTAATGCCCAAACTTTAAAATATTTTTAGGTATTACCGAAAAAGATAAGGACGCTAGGATGGCTTTTTCTGGCTTATTAGCCGTTGTGAGCTAGCGATACCCAAATCCAGTGTAGGCCATAAAATTGCAGCCACACTCGAATTTCGAACCCGAGTCTCTCCGGTCAGACCCAAACCTCCCAACCATTGAGCTAACGGGCCCGATGTGTTGTCGGTTTTTGGTCGGGAGTACAATTACCTACTACTACAGAAGATTTATTAACACCGTTGGCGTATTACACAAGAATGCGGTTTTAGTGTGTTGTTTTAGGAATTGTTAGGGCATGAATAACTGTTGTTGCTGTACACTGTTTTTTACTTTTTGAGGTTTTTTCACTAAATAATACTGTCAGGTTGGCTGTTCAGCCTATTGTTAACTTTTCGACTCAAAATAAAAGCATTTTTGCCTTTTAATGAAACTGAATTTTGCCCGGAGTGAAGCTAATGAGACTAGAAGAACGTCCAGCCCCTGTTTTAGATTCTTTCCCCAAGCCGCCTCACAAAGGACCTTTCAGTGGTCTCTATGTCCTCTTTTGTAAAATTGACAGCAAATGAAATGCGTTGGCCTGCCTATGAGAATCTATACTTTTAAACTTAAGTTTACGCCGCACAGATAGGGTCTTAAGCAACTGAAAAATTGGGGTTAGGGTGCAAAAATATTTTTACTACGGTTGTTTCTGATATAGCGGTGGTAAGACGCTGAGATAGATAGCCCAGTAGTACAGACGGTTTTGCTCAGAATTTGAGGAAGGGTGAAAACGATCTAGTTACATTTCTAAATTTGATCTTAGAGAAAATGCTCTCTTAAATACTAACCCCAGTGTAAATATCTGCGTTGAGATTAGCGCAAAGCTCCTAAATAATAGGGTTTCATATTCTTATGTTTGTCGTTGCGGCTTTCAAGTTCTATCATTCGGCCACCGAGTTATTCACGTGTTTGGCCTCTGTGATGTCTTATGTCCCCTGTTAATTCAAAATTTCATTCAAAGAGGAAGCATTTCCACCAGTAAATCCCCCATTCGCGAGGTGAGATTCCAGAACCCGTCGCAGATCAAAATGAACGTTGGGTACGCATCAGCCTATCTCTAGAGTTCATAACCCAACACGGAGTATGGGAACGGCAGGTCGTTGCGCTTGTTGATTTATTGTGGGCCTGAGGA